AAGACAGAATTCCTGCAACTTAGATGTAGAAGAGGAATTTCAATTACCTTTTCTATACAACTATTAAAAGCACAGGAGCTATGGGTATAGCCAAGGGAGGCAGGGGGCAGCTGCTCTTCCAAATCAATCAGTTAAAATACATAACTTACTGAGGTTCTGGCCCCCTAACATAAAACCTGCTCCTCCAACATAAATCCTGGCTATGCCCATGACAGGAACCCTATCTTCTTTTTCATCTAGCCACCCGAGTTTTATGTAGTGACTGCGTAACTCCCCTTTGCTTGATTCCAAATCCATTCTTCTTTTCCTGAAACCTTGTGCACACACCCCCCCGCCCCCCAAGAACATTCAGGAATAAAGGAACAAGGAGAAATGAGCTTCTCTTATCTTCAGGTTCCCCTGTATCCCCTACCCCTCCCTAAACATCGCAAGAAAAGCAGAGTGAGGAACCAGCAGCAAAGAGGGATCCTAAGAGAGTGGGAAAGTCTGCTTGTGGGCCTTGTCCTTAATTAGAAATGAATTATAAAGCTTCTCAATTGCAAGGACTTTGCTTGGAAAAGCAGGAGAACTGGAGGCAGAGCTGAGTAGCAAGAACAAAGACAAATCCCATTACTAGCTAGACCCAAATTCAGAGGGATCTCAACACTCTATAACGGGGCAAGGCTTTCTGACCTAAATTCACCCTATCACTAGCTTTTAGTGGTCACTTCTACATTCTAGAAGTGCCTTCCCAGAAGCTGAACACACTAACGATGCGAAGTCATTTGATGTAGCATAGAAGAGTGGAATGGGAAGCAACTTGTTTATTTTGACAGTACTTTTATAACTTGTTTCTCTACTTGTCTTGAGTTTTCGGGGGTGGGGTTAAAAGTCTAAGTACTGTAAATAAAAATAAAATTTGAAATTGTGGTACACAAGTTAAATGTAACAGAAGCAACTACGTATGTAGCCAGCTCCATTGCTCCTATTCCACCAATACTGAATCAAAGGACATACAACCATTACACCCACGAGAGCCAAAACCACCAGCTTATAACTGTATTTATATCATAAATGTACCGGTAAACTACAATACAGGCAACAAAACTGTTTTAAGGTGCAATAAATTTTGCAAGCATTTTTATACACGGAAAGTTTTAAATAAATGCAAAAAGGTTTAATCAGATCTTTTGCATTCATTACTTTTTCCCAAACTGTATCCTTCATGGCAGCAATAACCAATTTAATTATAAGACACAACATAAGAGGCTCAATGAATTTCAGACTATCACAGCGCAACATTTCAAATTTGTTAAAACTTATATCTCAATATGGATGTTTTGTGCAATAGTGCCTTGAAAATAATATACAACATCTGGCTTGCAAACAATCTCAATACCGTTACATTGTAACTATTTATCCTGGCCAATAGGCAAGCAGATGCTCCATGAAAAAAACCAGCCATTACAGAAGTGAGGTGATAAACTTCCAGAAAAAACTGCAGTGGCAAAGTTAATAAGCCTTCTGTACTGGTTTGGCATATTGACTAAGAGCCAGCAATGACCTTCAAGGAATTTTCCCTAGGACTTCCCTGAAATCGACATGAATCCAAACATGACAAAATCAGAACCAGATCAAGCCTCTTATCACTCTTGCAAGTAGTGGATTAAATCTTCCTCCCACCTCTCCACCCTCACTCACTGGCTCCCCCTTTTCCCCTCCCACAATCTCCCTTCCCATATCTCCTTCCCTGCCATCATGGTGCTTTTTCCACACCTACAAAAGGCATTGCAGCTTTCTCCTTCCCTTTTAAAACTGGAAGAGGTATCCTGAATGCGGCCACCACACATTTCCTCCAAGTCTGAAAGATGGCAGCAGGTCTCACAAGCCTGTATATAAGAGCAGCTAGTGCAGTACGCTGGTACTGCAGAGAGATGTTTCCAATATGGGCATTGCTGCTGCTTACCAAGAGGTGTTGTAGGGGCAGAGCAACAGTGAGGTCAAGGCTCTGTGAGCACATCAGAGGGAGTGCTGGATTGGTTCCACCAGTATGTCTGCACAGCCCTGACCTCCCACTGCTAACCCAGTAAGTGACAGAGAAACCAGTATCAGGAGGGTATCTTTGTGGTACGGCCTCACCAAGCTGGCCTCTCCAAGCTGAAAGAGGGAGGTGCATTAATAAAGCTAGAACAATGTGTCTCCTGCATTGAAAGAGGAATTGTGCATCAAGAAAAGCCAAGTGTTAAAGTCTGTTGATACTATGCAAATTGAGCCAAAATGAAATATCATGCAAGTCTGCCACATTTATTCTATTCTCCTAGACATTGAGAGGCAGAAAGATCTATTTTAAAAAATTGCACCTCCCACCGCTGGACAACTGAGAAGCCAGACAGGTGGCTAAATAAGGTTTCATCAGGCCTTGCAACACACTTTTAAATATCTTGGAAGAATAAGGACAGGGAACTCACTTTATTTCAAATTCAAATACATTCCCAGGAAGCAGAATTCTGTCATCCTGCAGAATCATGAGATACTGGACTTATGTCAATGTCATGTGTAACACTCAACTCTGTAACCATGGCTAACAGCACTGCCGCAGCTGTGATAGGACAAATATGTAGTTTGGTGCTGCTATTCATTTGGTTGACCAAACACAATCCAGGAAAACAAGTGTGTTGAGCTGCTAATTCCTTCATATAAATGGCCATAACGGGAAATGTTTGAGAAAAATATTATCTTAAACAATTTAAGTTCTTTTTGTTTATTTACTCCAAAGAGATGCAGGAAGATGCTGTTAATTTCAGCCCGGCCAGTTGTAAGTATCACAGCTATTGCAGCTGCATCAAAGTAAAAGAAAAAAACACAAGTTTTAATAGATCATGCTAAGGCAGTTCAAGGCTGCAATTCTAACCCCACATGTTTAGGAATAAGTACTACACTTGAGTTGGGATTGGACAGTAAGTCTCATTTAATTCCATGGCACTGTTAGTCAGTTTAATTTTTTTTTATTGTTAGTGAGGGAAGGAAAGCACAACTCAAAATTTGTGATCACACCTGATCTCTTGATAACAAAGTCGGTGGACGGAGGTTGTCTAATCATATATTTTGCTTGAATCTTTGGCATGTGTGGACCTGAGCAACACCTGGTGGGAAACTATTGAAAACCACATGCATGCGGCTTCTGAGCATTCAAAAGGACAAGTGGAATATAAAAATAGCAAAATAAATAACTGTCAATATATTAACACAATATTTGCTGAAAAGCAGTAAAACTGTTTTGTGATTTTTTTGTCTCAATATTGCTTTTTCTGGGCCTAGTATTTTGATGCCTCTAAAATCTGCCCATGCTTCAGAACAAAATGTAGAGGTATTGGAGCAAATATTGGTTCTCCCTCTCCCTACTGGAAAAGCTGTTAATCCTAAAGTTGTGTTTCCCTTTTCCCTACTGCATAATAAATAGAAGGGTTCTCATCTCACGACTTGTGTTGGAAGACTACTGTGATTAACTTTGTCAATAACATAACTGAAACTGCAGGCTTGGTTCACTTACAATACATTTATCCACATGGCTCCCACTGTAAAAGAAAACTACCAAGTTGAAAAGACAACACACACATAGCTATGTTGATCTATCAATGTATTACATGGGAATGTCTCTACCTACTGTGATTTTTGCTATCATTTCTATCAGTTAGCATGAAATTAATATTGAATGTCTGCAGAAGAGAGCTACTAAGTGTTGTGAATTAAGGATTTGTACACTCAATGAGACAAGCAGTCCAATCCCGTACATATTTACTCAGAAGCAAACCCTACTGTTTCATGGAGTTTATTCCAAGTAAGGGTAAATACACAGGGCTGCAGACTTACCAGAAACTGGGTTTTGTGCATCCAGATTTTTAAGCATTTGTACATACTGTAATCAAAATACCTGATTTGCCAAAGCAGAATAGTTACAAAAGGGCTTGATTTCTTTTTCATGGTGGAGACCATTGACACTATATAAACATAAAACCACTTTCAGTACTCAAGGGATTTTACATCATCAGCCTGTATATATAGCATTACAAAAATATAGATCAGAAATTTAAACATGGGAGTATACTTTGCTCTTTGTTTTCATACATTAACCAATCCTAGATACACATATATAGAATACCGTAATAATACTGAATAGACTTTTCGATCCAGAGGAATTCCAAAAACTATCTAGTCAAAACATCTACAAAGCATCAGACTCCTCTCTATCCAGATATACGCCTACACAAGACAGTGCAGATTATTATTATCCAAACAGGTAATACCTGTGTCACATGAGATGTACTTGTAGGACAAGTAGTAAAAAGAATTTTTTCTCAAGCAAGTAATTTGTGCACTAACCGCAAAAACCCTTTTATTCCGAGCAGCTAATATGAATTTGGGGGGCTCTCCCCCTCAAATATGGATCAGATAAAATCAAAGTATGATATTAAGACCTATTAACCCAACAAAGACCGTTTTCTTAGCTCTGTGACCAGGATACTATCTCAAGCTCCAAACATTCCCAGTGCTTCCGACCGAGAAAGAGGGAAGTTTTGTTGCTTACTCAAATCAGGTCAAGCATTTAAATCCTAGGCTTTGAACGGCTGAGACTTGAGAGGATAGTTTTAGTCCTGCTTCAGGCAGAGAAAGCAGGGTTTGGGCTGGACCCTACAAAACAAACGAGGGGAGAGCGCGTCTCTTCCTGGATCCCGTTCGACCCCGAGCCTCCTTCACACCCCAAAGGCACGAGGAGCGGAAGGAGGGCTTCGCCAGCGCGGGACAAAGTTTGTTCCCGCCCTCAGCCGCCTCTAGCGGGCGGGGTTGGGGCTCGAGAAATAAAACCCGCCGCCGCCGCTGTGACAGCAATCGCGGAAAGCGGCGGGGCTTCAAAGTTCAGCCGACCTCGCCGGCGCCTCCTGGCAATCTGCGCTTCCTCGGCTCCCCCCCTCTCTCCCCGACCCCCCCCCCGCCCTTCTCGAAGGAGCTCGGTTCCCTCTTACCCGTCCTTGCGCCGCGCTTTGAAGACGTGCCCGTAGGTGCCTCTGCCGACTTTGCACCCCTCGTACTCGAACAGATCCTCCACCCGCTCGCGCTCGGCCGCCAGCTTGGATTTGAACTCGTAGTCCATGTCTCTCACCCATGGAAGGGGCGGCCGCAGGGAGGGCGGGATGAGGCGGCGGGACCAGCGGCCGCGCGAGCGTCAGGGACACGAAGCCACCGCACTGGGCACCATTTCCTTGTTTTGGGTTTTTTTTTGGGGGGGGGGGAGTCCGCTCCGCCGCCACCCGCTTCAACTAGGGCTTCCAATAGTTAGGGTCGCAAGGGATTCTGGGCTTGGTAGTATCGGAGGAAGCGCGAGCTCGAAGGCGTCTGGGGAAGGTTGAGGAAGCGGAGACTACAGTTCCCGGCGTCGCTTGCAGCACCGAAGCGTGTGTGCGCCTGCGCATTGCAACCCGCTCCCCGGTTATTGCTGAGCGGGTGGTGGGAAGTTGCTGAGTCTTCACGTTGCCGGGCAGTGGCGGGAGAGTCAGACGGTTGCTTAGAAGGGAGACGGCGGAGTCTCTCTTTGCTTCGTTTGTCCGCCTGCAGAACAATGACTCGCAGTCACACTCTTAAGCGGCGAGGCGGCCAGGCGGGGTACCGGGTACGGCCGAGGTCGGTCGATTGAGGGTCTCGCGCTGAAGCTTGTTTATCTCCTGAGCTGTCATTCAGGTTGTATCCCCGCCCTTCGCTCTTACATTCGTCACCGTTGGCTAGACTTCGTCCCGCCTTTTCGCCCTTCACCATTGAGCCCGCCCAAACGCCGAATCTGAAACGCTGGCCTTTTTGTCAATCAATTGAAAGGCGGAGCCTCAAGTCTGAGAGTTGAGGGAGAAAGGCTGACGCTTGGGCAGATCTCCGCGTCGTCGTAGTCGTCCCCCCGCAGTTCTTCCCAAGGCTTCGCGTTTCTCGCCCTTCCCCCCTTCGCTAGCATATTGACAATGGCTCTGCTCACGCGCCTCTCGCTGGCTCCCACTCCCGCCTCCTCCGGCTCGCTCGCTTGACATTGCGCAGCGCTGTTTTCCTGGAGCGTCTCATGTTCTATGAACGGAGGAGCGGCAGAGCACCGGCAAAGCTCTTCTGCCCTCAGATTAATAATTAAAAGAAAAGGCAGCAGGTGCACGTTCCCAGGCGCTAGAGCGGGAAGACGCTGCCCCACAGGCAACACGTACAATATGCCTCACCGACCAGGGACACGGAAGGGGGTGGAGATAGGGTAGAGCAGTTTTCAAGCTGGCGTTGAGTTTAATGTCTCTTGAACATGAAGCCTAGAGACTTCGAAACTTGACATAGAGGAACACTTTGCTTACAAAGATAAAATTGATTTGGCACCTATTGGTTTGCCTCCACCTCTTCCTAATGTATTTCGGGTAACCATCAGCATTCAAAAGGCATTGTTAAATGACTCATACAGTTTACTTTACATGCAGGTCTGCGCTTGCTCTGCAAGGTCTTTCTCTTCTTCAGATAATGTAAACTTACAGGTGTGCAGACTACCATATCACAAAAGCTGTGTTTTCCCTTTCATTTCATTTATACCTTAAAAACAAGTCATGCCAGGCAAATCTCATTTCTTTTTTTTTAAATGGAGTTACTGTACAGTCTTGGTGGATCAGGGGAATGCTGTGGACACAGTGTATCTTGATTTCAGTAAGGCTTTGGACAAATACAAATACACACACCCCGTGATATTCTTGCGAGGAAGCTGGTAAAAGGTGGCCTGAATGAAGTAACTGGCTGACTGACCGAACCCAAAAGTACTCATTAATGGTTTCTTCTCATTCTGGTAAAAAGTGACAAGCGGGGTTCTGTCCTGGGCCCATTGTTGTTCAATGTCTTTATAAACAACTTAGACAAAAGAATTGAGAGGATGTTAGTCATGTTAGTCCACCTACCAACGCTGCTTATGTACTCTGTGAATTAAGTTTCAGCTTCTTGTACAGCATCCAGTCCTTCTCAACAATGAACAGTTCACTGTTTCAACTGCCTCCCTTGGTTCAGCTGAAAATGAGAGACAGGGTTGGGTGTCATCAACATACTGATTATTCTGCATCTGAAATATCCATATAACCTCCCGCAGTAGCTTCATTAAGGTGTTAAATAGGGTGAAGGATAAGAAAGAGCATTGTGGAACCTCTAATAACAAGTGGAGCCCTCTTAGATCAAACCATAAACAAATAGTTTACTACACTGTTCTCACATGAGCCAAGCAGATGCCTATGGGAAGCCCACAAACACAATACAAGCACAATAGCATTTTCCACATTTGTGTTTTCCAGCAACTGGTATTCAGTCACATATCACCTCCAATATTAGAGGCAGCATACAACTATAATGACTGGTAGCCTTGATAGCCTTATCCTCCAATAGTTTGTCTTTTTCTTTTTATGTTTGTGCAAGTTGGTGGCCAATGTTAAATCTTGTGGGATAAAATTCAATAGTTTATGTACTGTGTAGATGACTTTGGGTTCTAATATGGGAAGGGGAGAAAGCCTCTCTATCCACTTTATCCACACCATGCATAATTTTATGCACTGTTTCTAACCTAAAAAGCCCCAAATGTTGTAACCTTTCCTTATATGGGAATTGGTCCTGCCTTTCTATAATTTTGGTTGCCTTTTCCAACACCTTTTCCAGCTCTAAGATAGTATTTTTGATGTATGACTACCAGAAATGTTCGTACGTACTATAATCTGGTCACACCATCAATTTATATAACACCATTATGATTGGCAGTTTTATTTTCAGTCCCTTTCCTAAGGGACTTTATCCAAAGCTTTTTGATAAATGGCCATGTTTATGTTATCTGTTGATCACCCCTAGTCATATGTATATGGACACTCTGAACTCTAAAAGGTTAGTTATATATGACTTAAATTTGCAGGAGCCATACCGATTTTGCTTCAGCCAAATTTGGTCTTTTATGCTTGGTAATTCTAATTTTAATAATAGTTTTCATTACAGGTTGGTTACTTGAAAACTAATTTCATATATATTTTCTGGATCCCTTTTTAAAAGTTGATTATATATTGACCACTTTCTGGTCCTCAGGTATGCAGGCTGATCTCACAGATGTTACTTTTTTTTGTTAGAAGATCAGTTATTTAAATTCAAGTTTTTAAAGGGCTCTCAAGTAGATGCTACCTCCTGGATGTGATGTCTTCATTTTTAGTTTGTCATCAAGGCCTAGAACGTCAATTCTTGTCACCACCATTTGCCTCTTCAGACTCAGTTCAGGCGCAGGGATCAGCACTACAGCTTCTCTGCAATCTCCTTTTCCTCCTTTAGTACACCTTTGACTCATTTGTCATCCAAAGGACCAAACATCTCTCCAGCTAGTCTGCTGGTTCTAACATGTTTTTTAAATGTATTATTGTTGGTCTTTAAAAAAAAATGCAATATGAAATGTTCTCTTGTAGTCTGCTTGCATTTATTTTGCTGACGTTTCTGTACCTTTTTGTTCTCATTTGGATAAGACTTACATTTTATAAAGGAAGGCTTATTTTCTATCGTGACTGGAGCATTCATTTACCCAATTGAAGTCACCCATTACATTTCCTCCTTTGGATGCCTCCTTGGTTTCTGTCTCCATCTCAAGATCACACTGAGCATTTTGGTCATGGTGTGATAGCATGTAAGAGGTAAAGGGACCCCTGACCATTAAGTCCAGTTGTGGCCGACTCTGGGGTTGCGGCGTTCATCTCGCTTTATTGGCCGAGGGAGCCGGCGTACAGCTTCTGGGTCATGTGGCCAGCATGACTAAGCCGCTTCTGGCGAACCAGAGCAGCACACGGAAACGCCATTTACCTTCCTGCCAGAGCGGTACCTATTTATCTACTTGCACTTTGACGTGCTTTCAATCTGCTAGGTGGGCAGGAGCTGCGACCGAGCAACGGGAGCTCACCCCGTCGCGGGGATTCGAACCACCAACCTTCTGATCAACACGTCCTAGGCTCTGTGGCTTAACCCACAGCGCCACCCGCATCCCAGTGATAGCATGTACTCAGTGCTAAATTTATATTGATGCCTTGGTATTGCCACCCACAGCAATTTTGTGGAGGAGTCTACCCCTTTTATAAGTTTTTGCTTGCTGGACTCTGTGTCCTTTGGCATGCAGAGCAACACCACCTCCAGTACACCCTCCTACTGACCTTCCCGTAGTTTACATCAAGAGATAGCTGTTTTGCACTAGTTCTCCCACTGCACAGGTTCTCTCCATCTGATTTCAACTAGGCCCACTATATCAATGCTTTCCTTTAAAACCAAGCAGAAATTGTGTGATATTCTGTACAATACACTGGCTAGTCCCTTGCTGGCTTTCTACCGGCATACCTGTTATTGTTGTTTATTCAGCTAAAATCCAGCGTTGAATGTAAAAACATTACAGGGAAGGGCACTGTTGTACTGTATTGCTTAACAATATTTACCAAGGGTGAAGCTATGAAATGCAAGTTGTTCAAGTTTTTGATCTTTTGCAGATCTCAGCACCAATGCTCCTGAACTTTTTACTTGGATATAATCAAAGCATGATATTAATACCAGCCTACATGATGGTTGGGCACACAACTACAGAGGAACGATCTCTTTGGCAAAGATTCTCTTTGGGAAACTAATTCAGCCACCAGTTTCCCCACCACCCATATGAACACAGGGCTGTCCCTAGGGGAAGTGCAGCACCTGGGGCAAATTACACTGTGTGACCCCATCTTCATCTCCCCCTGCCTACAAAAGAGGGAAGCAGAGGAGAGGAAATGCTAAAGCCCAGTGTTTGTCATAGCTTACTCACACAGTGATGAACAAACCATGGTCTTCCATTAGATCTGAAGTAGGCATTAACATTGAGGTATGAAATCAGAGCCTTACTGAGTAAAATTATTAAGAGTTTCAGTAGGTTTCTTGTACACACGTCTACTTTTAATTCCCATTGATACATTTTCACTTCTAACCTCAACACATCTTTTTACTTTTTTGTTTTTCCCTCTCACATACAAAACATGTTAAGCTTTTCCTGAGGTACTTTTATCCTCCACTAATTCATCATAGGATAGCAATCTTAATTTAGAAAACAAATAACCATTTGTTCACGCTTTTTCCAAGGAAATATTGTGTGCTCTGTCACAATATCCCCTGAATTAAAATATATTTTATCAGATGCAAAAGCCTCCCTATAAGCTTGTGTTGTTTGCCTGCCCCTTACACATACACTGTTTAGATGTGAAAGTAGCTTAATTTTAGATAAATTAATTCACATAGTCTCATTTGGGGAAATACAATAGCTCAAGGCAGTGGATTAATTGCCATTGTGATTACTGTGTGGGATGCAGTTACAAGTTTCAGTGGCGGCTATTGGGTATTTCCTGTGATGAAATTAGCAGCAGAATGCTTATCTTCCCCTTTCCACACTTTCAGGAACTTTCATAAACTTTCATTTGTTATTATTTTTAAATAAATATATTTTGGATGCCCAGGGATAGCCCTACCATTAGGCAGAATGAGGTTAACTGCCTCAGGTTGCAATATGTTGTGGGGCAGCAGTGGTAGTCCTCTAGCTTCTACTCCTGAATCCCACAGCTGTACTCTTCTGTTAAAGGCAGAGCTCTATGTGCCACACTCCCCTAACTAGCCTGGTACTCTCAGGTGCAGTGGAAGACACTATTCCATTACTGGTCCAATTAGCTTCTGTACATGGAATGGTGGAGACATCATCTTGTCCTTTGCCTCAGGCAGGAAACTGTCTTGAGGCAGCCCTGTGGAAAATCCCAATGCAAGAATTCTCAACCAACTACCTCCCCCCTTTTATCAACACACTGCATAATTCTATGCTTGCTTACTCATAAGCCCTACTGTAAAGCTTACTGCCAAATACAGGCATGGCCAAACTTGGCCCTCCAGCTGTTTTGGGACAACTCCCATCTTCCCTAGCTAACAGGACCAGTGGTCAGGGATGATGGGAATTGTAGTCCCAAACAGCTGGAGGGCCAAGTTTGGCCATGCCTGGGTTAATATAAGATTGTAACTGTATGTCACTGAAGCTTGTCCATCAGCTCTCAGTAGATTCTCTATCTTTATGTGAAACTGTAAGTTCTCCCTCTCACCCTAGGGCCTATGGATGCAAAACACACCCATGCAATAAAATCAACTGCATGCAAAAAAATGGCGCATATTTGCATTTTTCCTGGGAAGTGGGTCTGTAGCTTTCATCAGATTCTCAAGTGAGTCTGTAACCCAAAAAAGGTTAAGGACCACTGTCACACAGCATAACTATGCTCTTCCAAGTCGTGTGCAGATTCATGGATTATTGTGCATTGAAAAGAACTTGAAGTTAAACATAAAACTGCAATCTTAAACATACTTACTAGGGAGTATGCACATTGAACACAGTAGGATATACCTAAATGGAAGCATGATCAGAGTGCATTGAATTATGTTCAATTATGCTTTGCCTGACTGTGCAGTAATGCCCTTATATACTATTAAACTGGGGAAGATTTGCTTACTGTTTGTGGAATCCCAGTGGGTTTGGTAGAAATACATTATTGTAAATGGCTGGTTAATCTGGTTGCCGAGGACAAAATCATTGAACAGCTGCTTCAGTGAACAAGGG